CTATATAAGCTTAACCGCCTAGAAGATTTTAGCACGTTTATAGCTATAGCTATTCGGATTAATAACCGATAATTTAAATAATAAACAAAGAAATGCTAGAACTCGAATACTATAATACACACTACTTACTATAAGAGGAACTAAGCTAATACTAGTAGAAAGTAACTATACCTATACTAATTTAGGAATACCTCGTATAGATACTATAGTAGTCCTATAAAGCTCGATAATATTAACCGATAGAATAATAAGCAGGGCAGGAAAGATATAAGCAAAGTTAAATACTATAATTACGATAAAATAGGCCACTTCGCACGTAATTACTAATAGCCTAAAAGAGAACGATCGTAATAATAGGCTAACGCGATTAGAAGAGAGAAAATCTAGAAGGAAATTAACGCTATTAGATACCTAGAAATTTATAAGGATAAAACACTACACGCTAACCTCTATTAAATAACCTACTACGATAACTATTATCTAGTATACTAATTAGAGAAGGACGGAGCTAAATACTACCCTAAAAGACCCTAAAAGATACTAGCTATAGTATCTAGTAACGAGTACGATAACGACTATAGCATTAAAATCCCGGACTAGGATAACGATAGACTAGCTTTATAAACTACTATGGAAATTCTTTAGGAACGCGGATAGATAAAGGAAGAAGCTAAAAGATAGAAGCAGATCTTAAAGATCCAGAAGAAATAGGAAGTCCACACGAATACTAGCAGTGGAGGCTTTAGCGCCCTCTAGGAAGTAGGACTCACTCCCGAAAAGAAATAATAGCTTAAGAAAGAAAATTATACATGTTACGTATAGGAGGAAATCGCTAAACTTAAGGAATAAGATTAGGAAACAGAGTCCGATAGAGTTCCGGATAGTAATAAGAACTTCTAGTATTAACTTATAAAAGTAGCTAACCTAATTAAGGAGGAAGCTATCTAGCTACGAATACTCGACTAGCTTATAGAAGAACCCCTTAGATAAACCCACTAAGTCCATTTTACTAAACTTAGCTTTAATAACGCCTACCGTAAAGCACCCACGGATACTAGTAAAGAATAGTAATAAACTATATATTAACGACCTTACTATACTTAGGAAGACTAAGATACCTTTACCGGCCTAATAATAACCCTATAAGGACCGGATAATTAATCACCCGAGTACTAAACGTATAAGAGAGAATAGATAATACACGCTAACTATCTAGGCTATAGCTTAATCCTTTAAGTAAATTATATCGAGGATATATACCCTACGTATAAGGAACGTAAACAGGCTCATAACTTTTAGCCACGGAATAAAGAACGAACCCTAGAAGATAGAGTCTATTCGAAGAGATAACGTGATAACTAGGTTA